TCAGCAGGAGCTTCTCCAACATTGGCGAACTGTCGTCGGTCGTTAAGCTCTTGTCCGCGTGCGTTTTTCGAACTCGCAGCTTGTTTTGAGCTTGACGAACGTGTCTTGCTATGACACTGGAAGAAACGTTCACCGAGTTTGTTGGAATGAGCTTTGCGCAAGGTACTAGACGCGAACTTACTTATTGAGCACGTCGCAAGCGTCGAAGAGCTTCTTGGCGAATGGAGTCAAGAAGAATCGCCACACCTGGAAGCCAGTTTCGCATCGGCTCATGTACTTGTGAGCTGTTGTCAGGGCGTTGATGATTCTCGTCGGTTCAGACGTCGAGTTGTAACCTGCCGACTCCAAGAAACCGAGACGCTTATTGAACGTCAGGTCGCAGAAGCAGTCCATGGCCCAACGAATCATGTCTTCGTGAAAGCTCGAAGGTACCTGCAAACATCGTTTATGGTATACGAATAAGTCAAGGTTGCTAAGTCTATTGAAGACTATTGAAACGTGCCTCGTTTTGCCTATTACGTATTTTATATATCCTAGTAATAAGGTCATCGCTGATCGTGTCGATTTTGTCGAAAAAGCTCGAGGCAATTTCGTTGAAGATCTGTTCCACCTTTTCCCTCACTTCTAACCATTCTGTGCCTTGCCTGGATAACATCTCTGGGTTAATGCATCGAAATCTTGAGCGTATGAAAATTTAGCAAAGTTTTACTAACACGGAGAACGGTCCTGCGAGACGATATTTGCGATAGTTCAGTCGATAATGTTGCAGAATGTCGATTCCGCTTCGTACAGGCGTGTCTCCTTCCTGTTTAAAGACCTCCGTTATGTGTTCAGGTCTACGTGAACGAAAAACAACGATGAGCCAAGGTTTCGTTGGTGGAAAATTAAAGAGCTTACCTGTGAATCATGACAATGTCTCCGGAAAGAGGGCCATTGATCCTCACGATGCAGCCGTATTCGTTGAACAAATATTTTAACGGCGTGATATTCCGATTCCACGTCAGTCGTCCTGAAAGTAACTCACTTGAAACTTAATAGTCATTTACTTCTGTCGGAATGATACCTCGGTTGCGAGGAGGAAAAGTATACGGACTTATTACTTGTTTTACGAATACGTGTTCACTCAACGACGATTCTACAGAAGACAAGAAGAAAGATTACGCGACGATTACACACGGGCACACACGGACACACACGGACACTCGTTACACAGCAAACACGCGAGTACATGGATGGCACCTAACCTATACGCGATACATGCAATTAGCCATTGTAAACAGAGTCGTGTCTATTGACATCGATGGTTCGTCCCCGAAAATCTTTCAGCTTCTCTTTCGAGCAACTTTTTTCGCTATATTTATCCTAACTTATTAGAAATCCGAAGAGCAAGCAGACTTTGCATTTAAACGGTCTTTCATCGAGCGAACAAATTTTCTACGGTTTTGTACGATTTACTCGAAATTCATTGTAGACGATTTTACTACGCGAAAGAGACGAATCGCGTTCTTCGGATTTCTGCCTATCGGTACTTCGACGGATCGTACCCTGAGTGAATCTGTTGATTAGCAGACTGGAAAGCAGTTGCGTACCGAGGAGCGGCACGTATTTCCAATATTTCTCCCAAATCTTGAGAATCGCCGGGCCAGGAACCTCTTCGAACGGCAATGGCGATTTGTCGCCGACGATCTGAGTATCGATCTTCATCGTGGACACCTCGAATGCCGCCGGTGAGACTTCCGTGGCAGACTGATCCAGCAGAGGAATCGCTTCAGCGCGTAACGACTCGTTGATGAGAGAAGCTGCCCGAGATTGACTCACGGATGAAGCTGCAAACACATGGGTTATGGAATAACCTAACGACAGCAATGGTTTTCGAGCACAGGTATACGGATAATACCGGCAGTATCGAGACATTTCTGGCCGTCGGTCGCTCCCAGAGGCTTCGATATCTTCATCACCGAGTACTGTCGAGAGATCGACATTAAATTCGGCAACAATCGTTGCATTTTAACCGCAGTTTATCAATCCTCCACCAACACTTTGCTTCGTGGCAATAAATAACAGCCTAATTGTCCTGGCAACTGGTGACAAAAATTCAAGTATCGCGTTTGCAAGTAGCTTCTGAATGCGATCGAATATGCACACATGCGTAACATATGTATGCGCGTATCGAGATTCGAAGAGGCGGTATAAATCTGTTTACGTATAAACTTTATTTAACATAGAAATTTATCGTTACAAATTACAAGCTAAGCCGTATCGAGTGTCGTGGATAATGTACATTTTCAAATTTAAACGTCAACTTCGATCTCGACATCCTCTTCGTCCTCTGAAACAGTCTTTTCAGTTGTTGCACTCTTTGCACTGTCCTTTACCACTTTCCTAGGCGATTCCTTCTGAGAATCAGAGTTCGTCAGAGCACAGTCTTCGCTCTCTTTCGTGTGCCGCCATTTCATTCGACGATTTTGAAACCAGACCTTAACCTGAAAATAGCAGAGCCCCGATCGAATTCGGTTATTCCTTGTGACCAGGCACGAATTCTAACTAATTTGCTATATTCGTCAAAATTTTCTTCGCAATCTTAATTTAGCCGTAATTTAGATACCGTAAGAATTTTGTCGGATTTTTCTTTGAGCTTTAAACGCGCAAGATCCGATTAACGCCGATTCGCGCAATTAGGATACGGAGAAAAAGGTTTACAACGGTAAGTGTCGATACCTGTGCATCCGTAAGGCCCAGAGTGGCCGCGAGTTGTCGCCTATCGGGCTTCGTGATGTATTTTTGCAGAGAGAATCTCCTCTCCAACCCTTTCCGTTGCAAAGAGCTGAACACGGCCCTCGACCACGATCTTTTCCTCCTCGTGTTGGTCTCCGATTGATTGGTCGATGTGCTGGGGGACGATATCGGTACTGCAAATTTTCGAAGAAATGGCTAAAGCTCGGGGAACGCTTTGAAATGCCTGAAAGGTCTAGACAAACACGGGAAGAGAAGGATCCGTTTGATAAAACAGAAGCCGGGGGATTCGTTGTGGTGGGACGAGAGTGCGGATTACAAATTAGAGGGAGACGTGACAAGATGTAAACGGTAGTCTAAGCTGGATGGGTGTCTGTTTCAACAGATCCTATCCCGAACAAGAGGCCTCCAAGATTGGGTACTTCTGGCTGATTTACAGCCCTACAGAAGTATACAACATGTGTACGAGTTTAAACAGTGTGGTTCTCTCTCCGGTTGGTACGATCCTCCGTATGAATTGGACGGCCAACAGTCAGTAAGGTCATACTTATTTCGGGAACTTTATGCTACCGTTTGAAAGTGCAACTTCTATTGATGAATCCTCCGATACTGTATTGTCAGTCGTTTCGGTGCTAAAAGTACGAATTAATCTGTCACGCGCTTCCATTTTAATTTTCCGTTTGTCCCTTTACACCGGTACTTTTATAACGCGTAAACGTTTGACGAGAGAGGGTAAAGAGCGGTGGGGAGAGCGGAGGTTTTCGAGTCTTTAGCTAACCGAGAAGGGGTACGACGAAACCGCTGTTTACATCGGCTATAAACGAATGGTGGCACTTAAGATGTCGTTTAAACACGAACAGGAAACACGAGAATACACTGTCACGTAAATATTTTGCCCTACTTGCTGTCGAGTATTCGGGAGACAAGACAGAGTAGTCCATATGGTCACATTTGTTAATGACGTAACCTTCGTTTCATCGGCCCTGGAGCTCGTGCATGATTTCCGTTAAAAGGACAAGAATGATCGAGGGGCTGATGAGGTCGATAAACGATGGATTAACTGGTTCGATCGAGTCGAGCATTCGAGATTACGGACAGACGCGAAACGGAGAACGGTTTAAGAGTAAAGATATTTTTCTTTTGTTCTTACCTCTGGGGACAGGTCGAAGTGGAGCAGGTCTATAGATGCTCGAATAATTTTCTACCACCCCGTTTCCATGATTGGTGCTCCCGTAGTTTCCAGAAATCGAGGTTTGAATGTAGGAGAACGGGGGACAAAGTCGAAGGGCTTCGCACCTGACGCAACTTCCGGGACAAGGACACCGCACCGTGGAAAATTGTACCGGAAGCGGCCTAAGTATATCTTTCGAAACACACATATTTATTGAAAAGCTGACCACATAGGCGAAACACGCGTTTCATTTAGTAACGAATACTTTTTTCCCTCGGAATCGAGCCGATTAATGAAAATAAAGAGAACGATTCGAAGATACGCGATAGACAGCTGTTTCCGGTTATTCTCACCTGACTTCTTCGACGAAATTTCATCCGAGAGTATACGCTCTACGCCAAACTTTAATTGCTTCGAACAATTCGTGCCATCTACAACGCGAGTTTTCACTTCGTTCATCTTTTCGAATTTGGAATTTTTATTTCTTATTTCTCTTTTCGGCGGGGAATTTTCCCTTCCAATCACTGCAGCGAGATTTTCATCAGCCCGCGTGTGTCATCGGTTTACACTTTCGGCGAATTCGACATTTTCCAACAACTCGGTTCACTCGAAATCGCAACTCAAATAAATTACGCACAAGTACACTCCACTGGATCACACGGTTTATGTCATGATCAAAAGTAGGCACGGTGTTTTTGACAATGATTCGGCTCCTCATCGACGATTACAAATGAAAGACGATCGAATTATCGATTGGCGACGCGAATGAAAATAGTTAAGGGTTAAACAATGACTTTCACGGAAGTGCATCGGAATGAACGAGTGAACGAGTTCCTGCCATGTTCAGGACGGAATTTGGTTTAAAAAAAATCATCGGAGCTGGCTGCAATTTCGTCTGTGGGATTGGTCCATACGGGAGCTGTAGGCGTGGCTCTTAGAAGATTGGTCCCTGAAGAACGATGAGTCTGATGTCAGTCTCGATGGAGCATTGCTCGGTAGTATTCCCGCTTCGTTGCGTTTAACCAAAATAAATATTATAGAATATATTTAACCGATAAAACGAGATAAATCGTTGACGCGTTTAAGCCTAGGAATCGTATAAAAATGTGACACGGAAAGAGCACTGCGACGCAGCTAGACGTAATTAGTACTTTATTCGAATATAATTTGTTATATAGATTACAATTACTCTAAACTGACCCTTTCGTGGAAATTATATTCTTTATATTTACTACTAATTAACCGCTATCGCTAGCATTAAATTAACACGATTACATCGGGGAATCGTATAAACGAAGTAGTTACGAACGCAATTGGTAATCTCCGTTAACGAGAAGTAGCGGAAAAATGAAGTTCCAGAAATACATGAAAATATGCTATTCGGGTTATACATATCTGTGGAATAATAGCATAGAGACGTATGGTTGATGATATCTCTGGAAGCCATATGGTTATCTTTGCATGCAGACTTTCGGAGTATACAGTCACTTAGGTGTTTATTTGAAGAGCCATGTTTGAAGCAGCCTCTACCCACATGCTAAGAATATTCTTCGGGATATGTACACACCGTGATCCTCTATTCGATTTTATTAGGTTTTAGGATTTTCAAGAGTCCGGCGAATCATGATAAGCGAACCCCTAATTGAGTCCGTCGATCAAGATCGGAAATTTTTATCGCGAATCTCTCGTATTTTCGCGTCGATCGCCGGATCGATCCAACGATACGGAACTCGCATTTTCCAACCTGCACCACCTCGTCTGCCGTAATCGGCACGCGTGCGGAAAAATTTCAGTCGCTCGGCGAAAATTGAGAGACATTAAACGGAGAACGTGTGCTTCGTATTTACCCTTTCACGAGCGTACGTGGTGTAAAGGCATCGTTAATTGTACATTAATTGTACATCGCGTACGATTTCGACAGCAGGATCAATCCTCGGTACAGCTTCTCGATCTCCGTGTCGTTTACTGGAAGATCGAGGGTCGGGACGTTTCGTTTAGGACGATTATAGTTTTGCAAAGCCTGCAAGTTCTGAAACCCGAATGACCTTTCTGTAACTAGAACATTTGAACCGGCTTCGTTCTCGGACTTTGTTATTCATCGCGTAATTCGAGAAGTCGACTCACCGAGAGCACTATAACGTTTCCATTGCTCGTAGTTGCTGCGTTTTGACGAATTCCTGTTATTATAAGAGTGAGCAGATAGCCACCGAATGCGAGGAACGAGAGCGCCGTGACCGATAATTGGAAAATCTTGGAAATTTTCGTGTCTTTCCCTTTCTCGTCCGAATGATCCTCGTATCGTCTTATCGGTTTCCTGTTCGTTCTCTTTAAGGCCTGGGCGACAGGTAACGACAACGGAAGCGCTCTGCTGGATATTCCCTCGGCCCGTTCGTCATCCTCGACAACATCTACGAACGTAAATTTCCTTCATTCCTTTCCCGCCTTTTAACCACTTCGGGCAGCAATTTATTAGCTCTACGAACACAGAGTTACCTCCCATTTTTACGAGAGATACAACGTACACGCGTATTCATCATTGGACGATAAACTTAACTACCCGTGAGAATATACTGGAGCAAATTTATCGAGAATTATGTTTGTTATATTATTCAAGATCGTGCTTGGATACGAGAAAAGCTGGTCCCTCGAGAGGTTAACCGGAGCGTTTACCTTCTCCGCCCACGAGGGAGGACTTTATTTGGATCAATTCACTCATCGGCAGTTCGCTCAAACAAAGTACTTCCTGATCGTAGAAAGACGTTCGGTTCGCCAGTGTAACGTCCAAGAGAAGAAATATCGACAGGAACCACATCGTCGGGGTATTCGTCTGTTTGAAATTTCGAAATTGCAAATCTCGCGAACGTTTCGGTACCAACCGATGTTTCCCGAACGAGGCTCGTTTGTTACTAACTCGACGAGTTAACGAGGCACGATTGTCCTCCGAATCCCGAGGTCTCGTTTCTTCTGCTTGGTCGACAAAGCGAGAAGAGTCTCGATCGTGGTCATCGCGCATCGCGAGCTAGGAAGAGGAACGTGACGAGACGACAACGTGGAAATGGGTAATCAACGTCCGCTAGAACCAGGTCGAGTGCGATTTTCAGTGTTCGAAGAGCTTCAGCCGAGCTATAATGCGCAAGTTTCTCTGCATCTCCTTTTGCGTCTCCGCTATGCTGACTTTTGCTCTCGCTTCACGCCAGGAGGACGATGGTCAGTCACGGTATTCGAGTTTAACGACGAATCATCCGGTTTGCTAATTGCTCCGACGCTTCGTAGGTGTTCTCGACAAGATAAAAGCGGGTCTGGAGTACGCTACGAATTATCTGGAGACCGCGAAGGACATCGCTGATCTGGTGGCGAAGAGCTTGGACCGTAATCAGGAGAAGAGACGAGGCGAGGGTGAGGACGGGAAGAAAAGCGAAACTTTTGGACCTTCGAACGTCGTGTCGGCGTTCTTTCGACTCTTGGGACTGGATTCGCAGAAGATCACGGCGATCGCTGTCAACAGCGTGATATTCCTCGCGCAGATGGTACGTATTCGACACTTTGCACGCGGACATGGAGTAACGGCGAGTGCATCGATCGCAGATAAGCGCGTTGTTCAACCTGAAAGCCACGAAAGAGAGTCCTGCGAGGAGTCTGGAAGACGAAAGTGACGTTTCGTCTTGGAATCCAGCTAAACTTATCACCGAGAGCAAGAACGAGAGAGTGAGTCGGCCTGAATCGAGAAACGAAACGGAAATGGAAAGCTACGAGATAACAGAGACAGGGAATTATTTTGTTCGTAGATACAAAGTTTGGTGGAGCAAGCTCGGGACGAGAATCTGCCTGTTCGATTGATCGAGAGGATCGACGAGGTAGGCTTCGCGTGCGTGAGGCTGCTCGTGTGCAAGATCTCGCCGGTGATAAGGGCGGCGCAGAATTTCCTGAAAAACGAAGACCGTGGCGGATCGAGCAGGATGACTTCGTGGCTGCCCAGCAGGGACGAGTTCGAGGAAAACAGCGACGAATGCGAAAACACGCATACCGATTGCGGTTTATTTTCCTAGCTGTAGTTATCGAACCGAGCTGTAGTTTATTTAACTTTATTTGCCGCGAACTCGGTCGGGAGAGGAAACGACGATAAGTCTGAAGAAATTTTTCTGCCAAGCTGCGAAACTGAAGCTCGTGTAAAATTGGCGCGTCGATTCGATGGGAAAATAGCCGAGAGACTCGTAGCCGCGTGGTACATGGCAGCTGCGTGTGTAGTGTGGAATTGCTAGGAGTCAAGGTGTTGGTTTGCATAGCATATATATTTGCGTCCATACAAATATATACTATATTACAGAATATACAAGGTATTCCAAAATTAATTTACTGAACGTCGAATTTGGTAATTATCTTTGGTGTTCCGCCAAGTACTCGTCGACGGACGAAAGGAAGGAAGTAGCGGCAACAGCAGCAGCGAAGACGAGACCACCGTTTATTCGAGATAAACAGCGGGTGAATTAAATTTGGCAATACCCTTTATATTTCCAGCCATCTCGAAGATGGTCGCGCGCACGCGCACTCGATTATCCGGAATAAAATCATATTGCTTCAAGTCGTTTAATCTTTACAAACAACATTCGTGTCTCTTGCGAGTTACATAAGGAAAACGCTCGCGATCGTGGTAGAACCGAAGTCGAAGCGTTTTCGCGGAAAAATAATCTCGATCGCGTAACGAGGACGCTTAACGCGCAGCCTCGTTGATATTTAACGAGACTTAACAAAAATATTCATCGATAATACCTTTACGGAACGCATTGTGCGAGTGGCGTATTATAACCAGTCACGTAACAAAACTGCGCAATCGCGCGACAAAACGAACTATTCGCAAAATTATTGCACAAAAGCACCTTTCTTCGATCGGCTCGATTAACGATAAATAAACGCAGAGAGAATCATCGGACGTATAATATTCTTAATAATCCATCGACTTTCGAAGCGATAAACGTTCACGAATACATATTTATCACGGAGGGGAGGGGGAAGATACTTGTATGATTCGTAAGGACGGTGCTAATGAAAAATCTCTACTATCCGAGACCTTCGTAAGTCGAACGTTTCAAAGTGATCCTACGATTTCAAATATCGACTCGACGCCCTAACGATACTTTAACTTTAAATCGATACAAAATCAACTATATAGAGTCGGCTCGATCGCTGTCTTTAACGTCGATTAATATCAGGATCGATCGCTAAGTGAACGAAATTCGAATGAAACGTGGATGGATAACGAGACGGTAACAAGAAAGAAGGAACCATTGGATGCAACGACTACGTTGAAACAAGGTTTCTCGCGAAATTACCGGGGAACCTTCTACCGTGTAGTCGCGTGTCTGTCACGCGTGTGCCACACTGTAGAAACCTTAATTGCTCTACGCTATACATCTAATGAGATCAGTATTATTGCGAGCTATATGTCGTCGGGGATTAAACGTCGATTGAACGTGTCTAAAATCAATAGTAATCGATACGATAGAGTAATTAGTCGCCTCTGGTGATCGCTCGCGATCCAGAAACCTTTCTACTTCGCCAAGAACGGTGATCACCGTCGTGGTTGCGCGTGATACGGTTTAGAATGTCGATTATTACGAAAGTTTGGCATTTGAGAGACGTCGTGGTAAACGCAGCATTGAGCTTCGGACGCGCTCCAAGTTCGAGGCTCGAACAAGTGATCGACGAACTGACTCGTGTCGTCTTTACGGAAACCCTGTCTACTATGGTATGCGACTTACAACGATACACGATGATTAAGTAACTCGATACAAAAGCTAAGTTTTTCCGTTCGCAATTGTCTCTGTGTCTTTTCTTACTCCCTCTCCTTCTTCTCTCGCTTTTGATTCAGATTATCACATACGATCCGATAAAACGAAAACTGAATCGACACTTCTCACGTACGTCGAAGATCACGCGTCGGTTTTATCGCAAATCCGTCTCAAACGCGTTGAACGTTACGCGAAGTAATTCCAAGTATCCGATACATGTATGTTATAGTAAATGTACGTGATATTGGAGGTACGCATATTATTCATTCTCGATATACATTTACGGAAAAATCGATCTCGAAAATATATAAAGGTTCAACAGACTGTCGGGGAGAAAAGGAACCAGCGGCTCGTGTCCAGCGACACGACCCTCGAGAAATTCTTATTTACAACGCAACTCCGTCGCGCCTCTATATACCGTTGTTTGCGTGTCACGCAAATTCACACACATTCGGCTCGTTTGCTCAACGATTCGCGAGCTTTGCGCGCTGAACCGGGCGCGATGATTCGTACCGTTTCCCTTTACGAAAGTCTTCCGTTTTTACATGGTCATCCACTGTAATGTTAAAGTTTAAGCTATTAAACGAACAGTGCCTGGTGAAAATTCCTGGCCGATTAATTACAACTTCATCGTCCGGCAGGCTGCTGTCTTCCCGATAAAACTTTAACGTACGCCTATGCGACCGAGCGTTTCTTTTCCTT